CTCAGTTTCAGAACTCGTGGTCCGTGGCCATGATTGAATGGCCGAGAGAAGATCGGAGCTGTCCAAACGTAATGCGTGTTTGATCAGTGATTGTTGACCAATGTGAAGTGAACAGAGCAGGGGAGAAGCTAAATCGAGACTGGGGGAACTGGGAGGCAAGGAAAGAGTGAGTGGTTCTAAAAATTGGCATATGCTATTGATTGGATGCTTAGATTGCTTATTGTTGTATTATTTTAGACTGGACCTTTTTGCGCTCACTTGGACTTGAGCCTGGGCCCGAGACGCAGCCAGTTACTTCCCCGTACCGTTTCGTCCCAGTCTAATAAGGATTAATCCGTGAAACCAATAGATTCATTCGAGGTCGCCGAACCGCCGTGAATCCCGACTGCATTTTGAGCCTGGTCAGATTCGCTGGATGTCTGGCGCCAGCATTGTTCGGATGGTACGATTGCATGCCAGTGTACTTCACATAGGCCTGTGGCCGTACCAGGTGATGACAGTGTCCAAGCTAATGAAATTGCACATCTGTGACAAAATAACGGTGGGTAGCCAAGCAGAGCACGCAGGAATCTTTGGATAGCGCGAGTCGATATCGACACCTCGTGCAAAACACATTCAGATTATTTAATTTTCGCCTTTCTGCATGTGTCCGCCACATGTGCACGGCATTTTCAGTATTGTCGAATATTGTGTGGATAGTGTCAACATTTTGTAGGCACGTGAAATGCAAAGCCATGAAGCTGAATATTGCTAGCAGCATTATTGACTTGAAATCCTGATGCCAGCTTGCAGTTCGCGTTGCAAAACTTTCTATTCAATAAAGAAAGCAGTGGCTTTGTTGTGTGCCTTTTTCGCCGAAAGGCCGGTAAACACAGCTATCTCATTTCCATGCAGTGCCAGCATAAGCGTCAGAGTATCAACTGGTGGGCTACAGTTGCAACGTTTATGCAAACGTAAGCATTCGTAGGCAAATGCTGAAAGGAAACAAAACGCTATCGACCGACGTTGCACGGTCCGCTGCGACGGCGGCGCACGTTGCAGTGCAAAGGTATAAATCAAGACTGCGGAAGTTCTCAAAACTTCCAACACTGCACATATAATCAGGTCAAGGTTTCAAAACATACGACATGAACATAAGACATACGAGTGTCTGAAACGGATATCCAAGCAACCAAAATGCATCGAGGTCCCCGTCATCACCAGGGAGGAGGTCATGACTTCAAAGCCCCCGCCCTTTGGCTACGCTACTACTCGGAGGTGAGTGGCATTACGAGGCGTGGCACGTGCGGTCCACGGCGTGAACAAAGGTTACGACACATTGCATGCTGTGGCAGGACATGCCGTTTTTAGGTGTGAGCTTTGTCACAGCGCTTGTGGTTTCGACGGCCAACCTGAACGCGGTAGGACTGGTTCGCCAGGGGTGTAGGGAGATCACGGGGACAGGTGTAGCGCAGGAGCACGGACGGCTCCTCTGAACTTTTCCCACGCATTGACGGAGAATGCGTTGTGCATATCATGCCCTTTCGACGGAAAACTGTGAATGCGCCCCTGCTAAAGTGTTTCCTCCGAGATATGCACGTAGGATGGCGAACGAGTAAAACGGCACATCCTGATACAACCCTGATGTTTTCCAAACATCATACGCTGTTGAAGGCTGGCATGTCGGCATCCTATCTGGTTTTTTTTTTGCATTTGCTTTTTTTGCTGCTGCTTGGCCCCTCCTAGTTTCAGCTGTTTGTGGACAAAGTATTGTTAAGAGCTGCGTAGCATTAAGAGGCGCTTCCGTCAAAACACCAGCTCTGTTAAGAGGAGCGCCCGAGAGCTAGTCTTAACAAATGCTCCAAATACACATGATGTCCTGCTGTTTAACGTTGGCCAGCCTTGTCCAAGATCATTTTTGATACGACCATTGCATCAAAAAAGGAACTGCCCTTATACAAATTCTGCGAATTTCAACAGTTATCCAGCCCTCGGCTGCTAAGAATTATTATTGATCCCAGTGATGTTTTGGCAGCATGACCAGTAACATCACCGCGAACCCGGTAGCTGCTCCCCTTCCCCTCCCCGTCCCCGGCACGCTGTCCTCCCATGTGGACCCATTTGCCCGGTCAGACTCCAGCTATTGGTGGATGTGGGCAGCCACCACGAGACTTCGCCAACGACTCCCTAGCCCACCCCAAGCTGCCCGGCGAACGCTCGGAATCTTGAGGCTGGTGATGCTTGTGCTCTGGTCCTGCGCTCGGCGCGGATTTGTGCGGATGTAGCCCAGTTATCTGCACAGGGATGCCCTAGTCCTTCCCCACCCCTGAAGAATCGCGATGGGAAATACTTACGTAACACGTCAGAATCCCAAAACAGATGTGGATGATGTCGATACATCTTAAGTAAGCTGTTCACCTGGAGTTATTAAACGACACCTTAATAATCCAATCTTTTCATTTCCTCCCGTCTAACGACTTACTTTGTTGCTTTATTGCATCCAAGATTGCATGCAAAAACAGGCAGTCTAAGCCACTATGCCACCAAGTGCAAGGGCGCGATCAATTTAACCCGAAGGCACAAAACATACCTGATGTCACACAGAGCCGGTGTTATCGGCCATTTTTGCCGTTCGCTGAGAGCCGAACACAAAAATTCGACGTGACGTCACGTAGATTCAGTGCCGGACGCGCAGAAAGTTTTGGGCGTGCTTGTTTAGTCTGAGACAACTGTTGCGCAGATGTTTCAAATGCTTAGAGGAGAAAGAAAATGAGCATACGCTAGGAAAGTGATGCAAACGAACTGTATGGGTCGTTAAATGTTCTGCCAGTTATGCCAGGCCAAAGCACTAATTCAAGCATTATCCTGCCACGCAACTGAAATCTCAAAATGCGGCCAAGCCGACGTCTTTCAAAAACATTGCTGCCGGATTTGTACTTGTCGAAGTACACCAAGACTGCATTACATGACCAGAAATACATTCTATGTCATCCCACACTTATCGAAAGCTCTCCATGCCCGTTGCCGCCTCCCCTCCCCACCTTCCTCTCCCTGGCCTCCCCGTCCGATCGCCGATCACCCGAGCCTGACCGAGACCCCGACGGCCCGGGGGCACGCGCCGCCTGACACAGATCCGCCACCGCCGTGCCCTCACCGCCCCGACCTCCATTAGCCTCATGTGGGTCACAGGGAGCCGGGTGCAGCGGGAGGCGCGCAGCGGCGCCGCCGACGGGCCTCAGGACAACAGCGGGACCGGGCGGGCCGCGCCGGGGCTGGATCGCCGCAGGTGACGGCCGCACGTGAGCGCCATGGTAATGGGGCCGGCCGCTCCTCTGGGACCGCACCGGCCGGGACAAGTGAATGGCCGGGCGCCCAGGAGAGCGCTTAACTTAATGAGGATGCCGGGCCCTGGAGAGTCGGCAACAATCAGCCAGATGTTGGCTCTCGAAAACACGACGCCTGGGACAGGCCGCCGTTCTTGGCATGCATGCGTGCTAGCATGTGTTTTTTTTTGGTGTCCAGCCAGAGCTCACAGGCTTTGCTCCTGATAGCACAATGTCTTGTTGTTGATTATGTGCCAGATCATGGGTCTCATTGCAGTTGACACGCCCTGAAAATTGAATAATGCAGCGGGCCATGGACCATGGGCCACGAGCAGGTCGATTGCTGTGTGGCCTCTCGACAGCGGCGTTACGATACGAAAGTGTGTCATCTATTTTACTCAAAATTAAGGTAGACAGGGGGTCATGCCCCTACAAGGCGACGGATGCCTGTGGAATTTAACCACCAACCAACTTTGGCTCGAAAAGCCAACCAACATAGAAGATAGGGTGATGTATATCACACGCGCTCAGCTGAATAAAAAAACATCTGGGTAAAAACATTTGGGGACATGATGTGTGGGGACAGGACTGACTCAAAGATAAATTAGATGACTCTGAAATTGCCGAATTCCAGAGTTGCACTGTTGTTTTGAGAATGCCGACGCACCACGGTAGACGTCATATTTTACCCTAATTTAGATTCCATATTCCTCCCACAACACTTTCCGTTCAAAATATTCATAATACATCCGGTTACCTCCTGCTTTTAGAGAGAGAGAGAGAGAGAGAGAGAGAGAGAGAGAGAAGAGAGAGAGAGAGAGAGAGGAGAGAGAGAGAGAGAGAGAGAGAGAGAGAGAGAGAGAGAGAGAGAGAGAGAGAGAGAGAGAGAGAGAGAGAGAGAAGAGAGAGAGAGAGAGAAGAGAGAGAGAGGAGAGAGAGAGAGAGAGAGAGAGAGAGAGAGAGAGAGAGAGAGATAGAGATAGAATAGATATATATATATAGATATATAATATTGGTGGGATGAAAATTGGAACACACATATACACATGCATATATATAGATATATATATATATATATATATATATATATATAATATATATATATATATATATATATATATATATATATATAATATATATATATATATATATGTGTGTGTGCGTGTGTGTGCGTGTGTGCGTGTGTATGTGTGTGGTGTGGTGTGTGCGTTTGCGTGTGTGTGTGCCATTGGCCTTGGCTTGCATGGCGTTTGACTTCTTTCCTTTACAACCAGCTGTGACATGCTGCCAGAGGTATGAATTCGCCATTCATCAGTTAGCAAAGATGCATGGAGTTATGCAACTGAGCTTTTAAAAGATAGTGGGACCGATGCAAATGTGCTCTGAAATGGTGCATTCTAGTCAGCAGCTAGAATGTGGCACACAAATGAATTAGCAACATAATGGAAGCTGATGGCTCATTGCCGAGAGATTTCGGTTATTTCCTTTTACTTATAAGCACTTCCCCGACCTGGATAAGCATTGTCGCACAGCCACTGGTATGCCAGTTTCATAGAATAAATAACACCCTTTCTATGTCATTTGGGTCAAACAGTGCAGAAAGGGAGTACCTAGTTGCAGCTGTTCAGCCCCTCAGACCTGTCAATGTTGTGACACAGACGTCAGGGTTTACCCGCTGCAAGAATGGCTCCTACCTCCCTGCAGGCGTATTTTGCTGTCGCTCCGTACGTCCTCTCGTTCAGCTTCATTCGGCCAAAGTCGGGCGGCTTTAGCTTCGGACACTCTTTGTCTGAAAAATTAGCCCGTCGTCAATATTTGACCCGCCTGCGGCTGGAAAATTCCCGAGCGGAAGTCTGGAAATCCCATCCAAGCCCCGAGCACCACAGAGTAATCCCACTTCGCCGAAAATCGTCCACAAGATTACGAACCGGGCGAACCCATACGGAGGCACGATGCTGACAAAATATTCGCTGGAAATTCACTAACCAAAAAGGATTGAGGCCGATCAGAGCGCGAGGGCGGCGCCACATATGGTCGGCTTCTAAGGAAACAACGCACCGGTGCCTTAGATCAGTGCCTTCAGACAAAGGAAGTTTAATCAATGCTAAATAAGAATCAAACATGCTTTAAACACGCCATTAGACACGCGGCCAGCAGCTGTGAACCCACCCTGTTTCACGCAGGACATTCCGCAGACGCCGTCGCAGACGCACTTGCGGTTGGCGCTGAGGCAGTTGGCGTCGGTCTCACACTTCTTCATGCACACGCGGCCCTGTGGCAAGAGTGACGGCGTGACTGACACTCTGGCGCAGCAGAGGGCCACACTGAGGCGCGGCGGCCACGCCCGCTCGACTATATTGCTGTCCTGGTCAACACCGCGCCCGGCAGACACTTGTGAGATCATCCGCCGCAGTCGTTCTCCGAAGGCTTGCTTTCAAGATGCATCTTTTCGGTCGGTAGGGATTTATGTCCAGCCGAATCAGTCATGCAGATTTCGCGGCAACAACGTAACACCGCTACAAATCCACTTCCCCGTGCAATGAACGCAGAGGACGTTAAGTTTTCCAGTTTCAGGGAAGGCTGAGAAGTCCTAGTCGGAACGAAGTCAGATCTCAGCGACTTGGCGCCACAGCGACACGAAAATAACAGGTTCTGACGGAGAAGAAAATAGGCGCCCGGTACAAGTGTGGCTATGTGTGCGCGCTGTCGTGTGACTCTCCTGCACACACCACGGATCCGCACGTTTTAGGGCGTTTTTTAAAGACTAATGCCACAGATGAGCAGGCAGAAGAACAGACGAAGGCGTGATCCAGCCTGCAAGATGTAGGGGAATACACTCACTACAGCTCACTGACAGGTCTCAAAGTTCCCGATCCGTAGAGATGTCAGTAATCGGCAGCAAACTGCCAATGTCACCTTTTCCGAAACTGATGTAAAATATGAGGCGCCGAGACCTACAGCGTAAAAATTGGGAGGCGAAGTTGACATTGGAATCTAGTCCTGCACATTGCGACTTATATCCATCTTAATCAGTTGAGTTTTTCGAAATCCTTTGGCCAGAATTGCCAAACCATTATGTTTAAAAATCAACGATGTCTGCTGTAGGCGTCAGGGAGGATCGTAGTCACAGCCGACAATCTGCAGGCAACTCTTTTTGTGAATAAGTGGGTGAGTACTGCATAAGTGGACGGCAGTAGACCTCCGCTCACTGAATTCGCATGGAAGCCAGACTTTCCAACAAATTGGTCGATCCCTGCTATGTGCTGTCAAAGGCGCCTGCCCCATTCGCTTTGTTTTTTACATCTCCTACGTGATGACAGCTGATGGCTCTCACCTCTGTTAACGGCTCACTCGCCGCGTACCACACAAGGCTGCCTCTCTAGGGTATCCTCTATGCGTGGTTCGTAGTCATATGAGTCAGCAGTGGCGTGTTTACGAGAGACAGAACGGGGTACTCGCCCCCTTTTAAGCTTTTTGCATGCTTTTCACAAGCGCTCGAGAAAACCTGGTTGAACTTCATGGACTGTGCATGGAAACTTAAGCTGTGTCTTCTTTTGAAATGGGCATAAAAACTTAAAATGTTAAGAAACTTGAAATGTTGTGTCATGGGAGTTGAATTGGCTGTTTGAACAAGCGCTGATTTCATTGTTGTCACTACTCCGGGACAATATCATATAGTGATATCACAAATTTAACCGCTTCCTGCAAATCATAAGTCTTCGTAGCCTAGAGTCGGCGGTTCAACTTTGTGACCAGATCTGGCACCGGTGTGAGTAGATTTGTAAGAAATCCGTTGCCCAGCTGCTTCACGTTTCGACAGCTTAACAAGCTTTCGGTTCGTGATAATGCCTTGAAATTGTGGCAAGCATCATCAAATGCTAGCTAAACGCGGAATGAGAAGGAGAGCAGACAGTTTTGGCGCAGGACGGCAAATTGGCAAAATGAGTTGGGACGCTGAACAGTGAAAAGCTCCTTCACTTTCCTTACTCTTCCAAAAATCTCCTCTCGTCTCCTTAGTGTTTTTTTCATGTCATGTCAGCACAACCGCCATTTACGCTAAATTGGACAGGCTTTTGAAGAAGTGCTCCACTGCCTCTTGTGATATCGTCGGAAGCAGATCATGGTGCTTATCATACACTGGGCCTATCCGGTTGCATTTTGTTTAGCGGTGTTCCTTTGTCCATAAGATTGGCAGGATCTCTTACAAATGAGCGTAGTGTGCGGCATCATCCAACAAATCAGACCAGGCCAGACTCACCAGTTTAAGCGGACTGGACCAGACAATCCTGGTTTGGCGACCTGCTGAGGCTGATAAACTTGCCTTGACAACTGGAAATGGCACGAGGGCCTGACGCGGCCCTTTGACATTGGCATCATGACCCCGCCATTTGTTTTGCCCTTGAGGCCCAGGAGGATGGCTGCCCTTGGTAACGAACGCAGCTGATTGGTTTTCAGGTCCAAGAAAGCTTACCAGTCTGACCCCAAGACCCGGCGCAGCGAAGTGGCTTCGCCCACCCCGCCGACGGACTAACCTGGCCCTGAGACTGGGCCAGGCGAGCGTGCAGGCCCTGGCAACTGACATGATTGCCTGACCTGACCCTGAGACCCGGCTCGGCCGTCTCACTTGGCCTTTGTACATACCTGGCGCGGTTGCCGAGCGGACCCGGAGCGACTTCGCCCGGCTTTCCGAATCTCCAGCTCCTCGCCAACTGACCTGACCTTGAGACCTGTCGTGACCTGAGACCTGACCTGATATTGAGGCCTGACCTAACCTTTAAACCTGACTTGATCTTGGAACTTGACCTATTTTGGCCTTGAGACCTGACTTGGCCATGGGACCTCAGCTGGTGTTGAGACCTGAACTTATCTTAGGATCTGACCTAGCTTTGGGACCTGGTTCAGCCTCGGGATCTGCCCTGACCTGGAAAGCCTAGCTTGAACTTTGGAACTGACCTGATTTGGTCTTCAGTCTTGACCTGGCCTTGAGGCCTGGCTCGGCCGGCTGACCGAGCACCTCGGTCCCTACTTACCTGGAACTTGGCTGCGTCCTCGTCGCGCGGGCAGTTGCCGTCCGTGTCGGGGAACACGTAGCTGTCGTCGCCGTCGGCCGCGATGGGCGGCCGCGGCGTCCGCGCCGGCACCAGCGACGGCACCACCTCTGTGTACGTCTCGTTCGGCTTGGGGCCCCAGCCCTCTGCAAAGGCGACACCAGGCTGGTAAGGCAGCGACTTGGAAGAGGTGTGGGCGCGGCCGCGCGTGATGCCGTTTTATTGGCGGCTCTATTTAAGTGGGCAGATATGATGTATCCGTGAACTAGTTGGAGCCGGCTGTTCCATCAAGTTGAGGGGCTCTATGACCACGCCTTTAATTCGAATGAAACGCAGTTTTGTCCGGCGCCGTCCCAACCGCATGTACGCCTCTGGGCCTTTGGGGTTCTGCCACTAAGTGCTTTAAGGCTGCTCTAAACATTTGATGCCAAAATTGAAGTTTTGGTTGGATAATTATTTGAAATGAGAGCATCGTTTTGTTGAATGTCGCATACGATTAACATCTACTCTGAGTTAATTTCAGCCCCTCTGAGAAACAAGATGATTGCATCGATTTGCGCTGCATCTACATGTTTGCAGCAAGAATCTGACTTAAATCGAAACTTTACGGCGGAGCTAATGTAAAGCTTCATATGTCAAGACCCGTAGAAATTGCCCTTGATGTTTTATTCATGGCTGGTTCCATTAGCGAAAGCCATTATACAATATTTCTTGAGCCTGCATTCTTTTGCCATTAATTGTTAAGTGGAGATGGCCTGAAACGGCCAAGAACAAAATTAGATTTGGATCATTTATTTCAAGTAATGGATTAATGGTTCAAAGCGGTACTTCGAACACAGATATGATGGTGTCAGTAACCTGCAACGACTGCCAAACCCATCATATGTCATAATTATGACATAACGTAACAGACGACATGCTGATATCCATGCGCGAATTGAATCGCAATAATCACCATTTAAAGCTGTACCCAACTACGGGGACAAAAATGTTGTGCGGTGATTTAGGCGGGACGAAATGCGCTTTCGCTGCATATGCCAGCGTCTGACCAGAGTACCAGGAACTAAGTCCCGAGCACCTAACTAACGAAGCAGCAAAGCCTGAGACAATCGAATGAGCGAGGGACAGACGCCGCCGTACTAAATTGAAATGGATGGCCTGGCAGCTTTGGACATCCAAGCAGTTGGTATCAGTTTATTGGCAGTTAAGCTTTAAGGAAAATGACGAAGTGGCATACGGCTCAGATCCACAGTCATGGGGCGGAAAACCGGGATGTCCCATTTGACGAGGTCGAGGATCAATAACGAAATTAATCACGGCAGAGCGACCCCACCTCTTTCAAAGGCAGACAGCACGCTCAAAAGACGTTTCCTGGTTCCGCCCCGGATTTTCGACGACATTTTGATAATCGCGCGGTGACATTTGACTGCCCTTGGACTACTTTTTGCCCTGATGATTAACCGTCATCTGCCTGAAAGGCTGGCAAAATTGAGACCGGAGCAATGTTTTTACACCTGGCCAATGGTGGTGGTGGCAGCGCAAAGCGTGCCGCCGGTCCGCACAAGGCCGCCACGTCGCTCCACCGGGCGGCGCGCCTGGTGCCGATCAAAGAGCGCCGCCGGCCAACCGCACTCCTCTCTTTCTGACGGCGTAATCCGGCCGACTTCTCTCCTCCCATTCTGACCGCGTAATCCGGCCGTGAAGAGGCCGCCGCGCCGGCTCCATCAACGCGGCCCAGCGACGGGCCGCGCGAGACGGCGCGGTTAACCGGTCGGCCGGCCGGACTGAATGGAGGGCGGGCCCGCCGCCGCCGCCGCCGCCGCCCCGGCACCGGGAGCGCCTCCGGACGGTGACGTCATCACCGGACATTGGATTCCGCTGTGCTATGCTGACGGCCGCGGCGGTGTGGGCGCCAGCCAGACGCCCGTCGACCGATGCCGAGCTCGATAATGGGCCCGTCAGTGACCGGGCTGCTGAGGCTCCTATTTACACGGCATCTGCTGGTAGTAGAGGACTGCGCCGGTTGGGAAAATCTATGGGTACCCGTATAGAGTGGGTGACGGGTTGACCTGTGTATAGACTTTGGAAAAACCACGGGTATGGGTACGGGTATCGGTAAGACGCTTATGATTGTTGCGGTCGATGCTTCAAGAAATACGACAGTTTTATTGCTTGGGTTGTTTTTAGGCGTGATGAGCTCCACGCACTCTACTTCTATAACTATCAACGTAAAAGAGAAAGTATGAATGTAGCCTTTCCTAAAAATCACCATCATTTAGATCAACAACGAGTGGGTAATGGATGCAAACAGCTGATTATGAGTGGATGGCGCGTGGGCACCCCCAGGCCCATGGTTAGCCACATACGGACACATGGTTAGCCACACACGGACACATGGTTAGCCGCATGCGGACACATGGTTAGCCACATACGGACACGTCCCCATGGATAGCGGGTGGATTGGGTAAAGGAAGCCATATCCGTAAAGGTCTCTAGCTGGTTGGCTCACACCAGTGTGAGCGAGTGCATCGCTTAGCATACACCTGTTGTAATTCCAGCACGATGCAGAAATATACTGTTGTATACAGGAAAAAAATAAATAAAATTTCTTTATAAAACTGTCTTTTGTTAGCTGTTTGTGACAGCGAGTGACTCAATCAATGGGGCTACTTGAAAAATGTAGTTCCGCAACGAGCACCATTCGTGTGCTACACTGATAAAAAGCATCAAGACTGAGAAGCACACACCGACCACGCCAAAGCTGTAGGCAATATCTTGTGATCGGGGCGGGCGAACGAAGCTGAATTGAATGTCTCACAACGCTTTTTCCACCCAAATAACGTTTGCAGCATTGTGTTCCACGCTGTTCTGATCCGCCTTGTCATGGCGTCGCCTATTCAGTCGCTGCAGACTGGCAACGACTGAGCAGGACTGCAGCATGCTGGACTGCAAGCTGCAGTTCAGCATTGTCAAACATGAGCCATCCAGCCATGACGGAAGCTGGCGTGACGCGGAGCCTAAGGAAGGCCAGTGGCCCTACTAAGAGTTTGACAGTAAGCGGCGGTGCCCAATGCCGTGCCGGGGGTACCAGCTGTGCTCGCCAGTCGCAGCATAGCAGCTGGAATAACTACGATTTGTCCGACAAAGTGTCTTTAGTCATCGTCAGCCATTTACCTAAATTAGTTGTCAGTTTATTCCACTGCAGCAAGATCATTCCTTCTGAGGAATAAACCAACACTTCCGACTCTCATTCAGATGCAAATGAAAGGCGCAGTAATTTCAAAGCCATCAGCATACCGTGAAGTGAAGTTACGCAACAAGACCACTACTCACAGCGGTGTTTCTGTTTGCCACCGTTCAAGGAATAAGCTAACTCACGATGCTCTGACCAAGTCCACACACCTCATTTAATGGCGCATAGCATTCGACGTTGTGCCGGTACGATTGTCGAAAGTCCACAAAAAGCGCGATACTCATCTCCATAATGCTATATTGTAATGTGGCACGGCTGGTGAGCTGGTACATTGCCCAGACTAATTCCGTATGCATTCCAACGATGCGTTGGCTGTACTGCTTTATTTCAAAGGTACCAAAACAGCTACTATTGCGTCAGATCGACATCACCGGTAACCAGGGTCTCTCACGATGTGGCGGACCGCGAGCCGGCCTCACCAGCGTCGCGGTGTGGCGGTCCGCGAGCCGGCCTCACTAGCGTCGCGGTGTGGCGGTCCGCGAGCCGGCCTCACCAGCGTCGCGGTGTGGCGGTCCGCGAGCCGGCCTCGCCAGCGTCGCGGTGTGGCGGTCCGCGAGCCGGCCTCGCCAGCGTCGCGGTGTGGCGGCCCGCGAGCCGGCCTCACCAGCGTCGCGGTGTGGCGGCGCTGGCCGGGCGGCCGCTGACCCGTGCCGCCGTGACGCCGCCGGCCACAACACCGATGGCGCCATCGGGGCTGCGGCAATCAGTCAGCCCGATCGACCGGGCAAACTGGCCCGGCGCCGCGGCCCTCGGCACGCCACGTCGTCGTCGCCTCCGATGCCAAACGGCAGAGACGTCCCAGTCGGCCGGGGAGGCCCTCTCATTTCGTTCGCACGCCCCCTCCCCCTGCCCGTCCCCGCCCTGCCCGCGGCGGTCGATGAGGACTAGAGGCCGTGACGGGTGGGACGCCACCCGTGGAGCTGTGTCCAGACCCACTCGCTACTTTTTCTAATGACATGTTTCCACCCATTGCCCATCCGCCCGCGTTTTCCATCACTTTAGACTGAAATTTCGAGAACGTTTAAAGTAAGTTCAGACACAAACTAATTGCTGGTGCACCACCGATGGCGCTGGTAAGTTAGAAGCAACTTGAATCAAACTAATTATGACTGAAAAAGCACAAGCAGTGGCATTGTGTCGTAATTCATTAGGTATCTTTCTTACCCTTGACAGATAATGACCTTCGGCCCGTGGCAGTGGTTGCGGCCAACGTCAGGTGACGTCAGAGGGCAGAACGGACCGTGACGAGCATTGCAGCACGGGAAACTTCCGTCATCAAACTCTGTCCTTGACCCAGAATTTCATGGTCGCATGGTAGGGGTCCGGACTCACACAGCAAGTGCTGCATAGCTTGAGCTCTTATCCCAGATATCCACCTATTCATCATCTGAAATTTCATGTTTTTTTACCCGTACCCATACCCGTGTTGCTTCCATAATGCATACCCATCCCATCCCGCTACCTATCCCATAGGTGGATCCATGATCTTGCTCAGCTCGCGCAGTTCTCTACGGCGGACTGCTTTCAGTCCGTGGGACCGGATCCAGCATCGGCACGCCCGTCATCAGGATCCATCCGGCGGAGGCGGAGGCCCATGACAAATCACGGATAACAAATCCGCAGCCATTTCACGACTGAGTTCAACCACTTAAGCTCGGGTTCAGACTCCATCCAACAGAGGCCGTTTCCGGGCGGGGAAACCCGTAGCAAATCGCTTGTGTGATGCGCTCAATTAGCGCCGAAGCGTTATTCAATATTCGCCAACCAAATCAAAAAGGCATTTTGTAACGAATGACGGGACCAGACTCCTGGCGTCAGCCTCCCCATACCATAATATCGGCAATCGCGCCAAAGCCGTGCTTTAGCCCACGAATAGCTTTAGCTTGCG